GGGGGGGGGTCAAATAAGCCTACTACATACTACAAATGATCTCTTGTATCTATGGATTTTTAACCACCCACAGATTGAAAATATTTTTTAAAAATTTTAAAGCAAATCTTGATCTTGCTGTTTGATATAAGGGACATCATTTTACTGCATTGTTGACTCTAATGGGATGTGAGAATCCATGGATTTTGATATTGTGCCACATTGTCAGTTTTGCGTGAAATGCAGTATATTCCTTTTTTAAGTCCTCTGATCCTCAGCAATCCAGTTTACATGTTGCTCATTTAGGGTGGAGGTGGTGAAGTTACTTTACTGGTTGGGTTTTTGACCTTCATTGACAAATGATGATCTTCATAGATAATCTCTATTGAGGCAGGTTCTTTTTTGTCGGGAGTCTTGCATTCCATCCATGTCTGTTTGAAGGATTTAGAGGCTGTGAAAAAAAACCCCCAGAAGAATCTGGTTGTGTTGAATGCCTCAGATAGAGGAGCCGGTTGTACAATAACACATTCTCAGAAGAATGAAAATAACCCAGAATTAAGTGCCATGGGTTAATTACCAGTTTGAAGTTACATTCTTACTGTTAAAACTTTCTGATGCTGATTTACTAAGTAAAGCAGCCCCCAAGTTACAAACATCTGAGTTAAATATAACTCCTAGTTCCAAGCAGAAATGAGACAAAAAGAAGTGAGAGGACATCAAACCCTTTTTCCCAGTTCCAACGGACCTCACAACGTCTGAGGATGCTTGCCATAGATGCAGGCGAAACGTCAGGAGGAAATGCCTCTAGAACATGGCCATATAGCCCAAAAAACCTACAACAACCCAGTGATTCCGGCCATGAAAGCCTTCGACAATATATGTATTAATGTTTCTACCTTTTTCATAAAATATAGTAAAGATAGGTGTGAATTAGAAATATTGAAGTTTGAAATTATGAAACTATTTATTGAACTCAGAATAGAAAGGTAATACAAAAAAGTTAAAACATTCGAAATCATCTTAATGAGAAGGATGAACCTGGTATGCTGCTACCAGTTTAGTAATCCTTGGCTCTATTTTCGTCAACAGTAATCCTAAATCATCGCGATTGACTATTTGCAATCGGTTTCTCTTTTTTTGTTAATAAATTGGTTACCTCACTGAATCCATGTTCCACTAAATATGATTTATTTATTGACATTTGTATTACATTTTTAACAAAAACAAACAAACAGACAGACAAAACACAGAGTTTGCAAGCTTGGTAGTTGATTAAATGTTCTTTGACCAGTAGCTGGCCACTTGGAGTGCCTCTGGTGTTGCCGCAAGAAGGTCCTCCATCATGCATGTGGCAGGGCACAGGATCTGGCCACTTGGAGTGCTTCTGGTGAGAAGATCCTATGAGAAGGTCCTCCATTGTGCATGTGGCAGGGCTCAGGGTGCATTGCAGCAGGAGGTCTGTAGTTTGCTCTTCTCTACACTCGCATGTCGTGGATTCCACTTTGTGGCCCCATTTCTTAAGATTGGCTCTGCATTTTGTGATGCCAGAGTGCAGTCTGTTCAGCGCCTTCCAAGTCGCCCAGTCTTCTGTGTGCCCAGGAGGGAGTCTCTCATCTGGTATCACCCACGGATTGAGGTGCTGGGTTTGAGCCTGCCACTTTTGGACTCTCGCTTGCTGAGGTGTTCCAGCGAGTGTCTCTGAAGATCTAAGAAAACTATTTCTTGATTTAAGTCGTTGACGTGCTGGCTGATACCCAAACAAGGGATGAGCTGGAGATGTCACTGCCTTGGTCCTTTCACTATTGGCTGCTACTTCCCGGCGGATGTCAGGTGGTGCAATACCAGCTAAACAGTGTAATTTCTCCAGTGGTGTAGGGCGCAGACACCCCATGATAATGCGGCATGTCTCATTAAGAGCCACATCCACTGTTTTAGCATAGTGAGATGTGTTCCCTATGGCTTATCCTGAAATATGGGCTGTAATTCAAAAGTTCTTAATTATATTTCCTTCACTAAATATCATGAAGGAAATGTAATTAAGAACTTTTGGATTACAGCCCATATTTCAGGATAAGCCGTAGGGATCTCCTTTTGCAGTCAGAATTGTTGGTAGCCACTTTTGAATTTAAATTTCAATTCATCATTTGTAGTTACTTCCACCAGTTCTTCTTGTAACTGTGGAGATTCTTCTGTGTTTGCACTTGAAAAAGGATCCAAATCCAATCATGTATGTGCATTTTCAAAATATCATCAATCAGTTGATTAAAATCTGAATGGAGAGCATCCAAGTGCTCACAATAAAAAAGTATGTCTTCATCATTTTTTCCTGCTCTTGATAAATTTGGGAACTGGCTAAATTCCCCTCGTCCAAAATTTCGTTTGTACAGAAGAAGTTTTGTCACAAATGTAGAAATAACAGATTTTGTTTTTATTAAATTCAGTTCATCACCTTGAAGCTGAAGATTGCCTTCATGAAGTTTTGGAAACAAGTCGGTCAAGTAAGCGATGTCACTTTTGGATTGAATTAAATTGGATCGTAAAGCATCATTTTTATCTTTCAAGAATTCCAGCACCAAGTTAATCAGCTTATAAAACCTATCTAAACAGGCATCCTTTGACAACCAACAAATTTCTCTTTGAAGCAGCAAACTATTAAATTCTTCATCTTTTCAATACAAAGCTGTTTAAATAATCTGTCATTCAATGATTTGCTTCTGATTGTGTTGATAGCTTTAATTACATATCGTAATGAATTATGTAGGTGTGCATTTAAATTTTTGGCAACTAAATGTTGACGATGGATGATACAGTGTACTGTGAATGCATTCAGCACCTCCTTTTTTAAATATGCAAGAAAACCCCTGTAGCGCCCTACCATCGCTGGAGCACCATCTGTGGCTACTGATAAGATATTACTCAGAGGTATTTCTTTGGTATCAGTTTGCAAATATTTAGCAAATAATAATTCTTGGCAAATTTGTTCTTCCTTTGTGAACCACACTTATGCTAAAAATAAAGCTTCATTTCCTAACAAAGTTGACTCATCAAGTTAAATAGAAATCCGAGATGTTTTTAAATAGCCACACAGACAATGAATCTTCAACATTTTGAGCCATTTCATCAATTCTTCTTTGCACTGTATTATTGCTCAATGAAATTTTCTTGATAATATCAGATGCTGGCTTGTGTGGCACAGTATGCATTACTTCACTTATAGCCGGTATAATTAGTTCTTCACCAATAGTATGAGGTTTTCCCGATTTGGCAATCATTAACGAAATATTGTAAGAAGCAAGCAAGCCATCGCCATCTTGTGTGGTTGTAGTTGAAAAGAGTTTTGACAATGTCGGTTGTTTGATACATTTTTCTTTTAGTGTTTGAAAATAAGATTTATTTATTATTTATTTACAGTATTTATATTCCGCCCTTCTCACCCTGCAGGGGACTCAGGGAGGATTACAGTGTACTCATATATGGCAAACATTCAATGCCAATTTGACATACAGAAATACACAGAGGCTATTTAACTTTTTCTGGCCGCCAGGGGAGCTGTCGCTTTCATCATCCATCTGCGACACTGATTAAGTACTTCCGCATTCCCCGCATGCTTCCCCGCTGGAATGCTTTGCTGGAGTCTTCTTTATGGCCTCATAAATCGGTTAATTTAGCCTCCCAACACAAGGTGGTACCTAATTTTCCTACTTGACAGATGCAACTGCCTTTCGGGTTGCAAAGGTCGACAACAGGCTACACAATTGGTTGGATGCCCACTCCAACCCTGGCTGGCTTTGAACTCATGACCTTTTGGTCAGAGTGATATTAATGCAACTGACTCTCAGCCAGCTGCACCACAATCCCAGTGCAGATAAATCCTTATCTTTTTTATCACCATTAATTTTAGTCAAATGTTATTGTAGTCTGGAAGGCTTCATAGCTTCGTTTGATAAAACTTTCTGGCAAATCAGGCACATTGGTAATGCATTGTTTACAGATGACTCAATAAAGCCATATTTCAAATATTTGATATTATATTGTCTAATTTTTCTTTGGTTTAGTTATTATTCGTAGAAAAAATAAAAAAAATATGAAGGTATTTTTAATTATTTTTTGAAATATTTTTGTAAAAAACAAACAAAAATAAATACTAATGAAATAAACATGATATTATTAATTGTAAAGCACATATAATTATTACAAAATAAATAAATAATGCTCACCAACTTTAACTTGTCACAATCATAACAATCTAACTTAGAGTTATATTATGCCGTAATTTTCCTGTAATAATTACGGAAAATCTCCTGATTCATAGCGTGCTCCAAAATCTGCTGGTAGTAA